AATAATAATAATAATAATAATAATTTTCGTGCCAAATATATACTGTACCTGGAGAAGCAGGCTGAAGATAACGATACAGAGCACAATTGGCCCCCACTTGGCGATCCCATTGAACCCTGGGGACATGACTTCGAACCTCGATGTCACCAATCGACACAGCTCTTCTACTTCAAGATAATTCGGTTGAAAGTTTAATTGAATGACCACACTCTGTGTTGTGTTGTCCACACTTAAAGTCATTCAGCACTCCGCCTTTAGCGTCGCATTGAATTTTCAATACGCTGAGAACACAGTTTGAGGAAAGGTACGACTGGGGTAATTAGATTCTGTTGTGTTAATATTTTGTTTTAAATTTTAGTAATTATGAAATAATACCCTTTCTTTGTCGCATTTTCCATCTAATATAAATAGCCAGAAATCGGGATATAAATTATTCTGCTGCTACAAAATAAAATATGGAAGAAAATTACCCTCTTGTATTACACAATTATAAAGTAACTCTCCTACGTTGGCCCAAACGAAACGCTGCACTTAACATTTCCTTCAGATATCAGAATTAAAGTAATCTGTGGGCTTATTAAAGTTTTTATTATATTTATGTTGCCGTTCATTATAGATAAATGCAAAAAAAAAAAAACAGAAACGTGATGTAATTTCATTTTAAATTACGCTCCATTATTAAGTAATTCTTCACGGATTCATTTCAAACAGTTTCACTTTTTTCTTCCCTTCTGTGATCACATGCTCGTCTTGAAGATTATGTGAGATTAGCCAGCACATTTAGGTTCACGTTCCTGCTTTCTTTTTTAATTCCGAAGTTTATTGTTATACAAATATGTTTTTTCATCGTTATTAATCATTAAATAAAATGAATAAATTAATTTGGATATAGTTAGTTACTGGATAAAATTTCGGTCAACTTCATTAGATTGAATAAATGAATATAAGATATAATTCAATCCCACGTTTACGTATATCATGTGTACACAGCATTCAATCCAAACGTCCTGTACAAGGATCTGTTAACAGTAAAGTTTCATTATCTATAAGAATCTGTATTTAAGCGCCACATTCAAATATGTGGCCATGAATGTCCTTTAATGCTGTAACTGAGATTAAAACCAGACGAAAAAACCGGAATTGTCACTTTGTTACTGGATTGACTTAGGTGTAAACTGTCAAAATTTGTTACTGCACACGTCGTTCAATTCAATCAACACAGTTTAGCCTTGTAACAAATTATAATTGATGAAATTATAGAAGATTCTTCCCTTCAAACCACTTTCGTTTTATATTCTTTGGTGTGGATATTTCTTGTCTGTCAGTTGAAGAATACGTGATAGACAACCAATTTTTATTTATCGTAAGTCTGAATAGTTAATTTATGAATTTAATTTTCGGTCATTTCATAAATATGCAAATATATTATAAATTTAATATATTTGAGAAATGTAGTATTTTATAATTATTCATGATTTAATGTATTTATTATATTTTTAGGTTGCTTGATTAAAAAGTTCTGATTATAGAGTCTCTTTAACAGATAGTAAAACCATGAGTGAAAATTACTGTCAGATGAAAGTCATCAAGATTGCAGGTTTGAATCTGAAGATGCTGATCTCGGATGTTCCTTCTGTCTGTACGAACTGTTTACATTCACTTAAGCAACTTTGTCACTATACGCACAACATCCAGTACACGTTAGTGAAAAAGTATTTGTTGGCGGTAAAGTTATATTGAATTACTGCGACGGGTTATTGCTATTCAACCCAGTTCTGTATCACAATTTCCGATGTTTTCTATTCTAAGATTTAATATATTAATCTCTTGGCACCGATATTCACCGGAAGTGACGAATCGAGATTATCACATATTCTTGAAGATCACAATCACTTGTTTAATCACTGTTTTTGCATCTAAATTTGAAATATCTTTGACAAAACTCACGACACAATCTGAGCCAGAAGAAAGTACAGTATAAAATATTACATTGTGGAAACTTCTTAAATACGTACGTTGATATATTTCAATAGAAATCTGTGGATTAAAGATGTCATCATGAATGAAGACGTTAAGTAAAAGTCTAAACGCGTGATATTGTTTCTATTACTTCCCGTGCACACGGCTCAAACGACAGATGCACGTGAACTCCACAACAATACCCCGTTGAGTCTTCACAACTGGGGAGCGCCCGAGAGAGTGTGTCCATGTACACGTCTCTCTTATTCATTCTCCTAGACCCCCCCCCGCCCTTTCTAACGCCACTTGTTGAACTCTTTAGTGGATGGGGCTCGGTTTTCGGAAGGAAGGACGACAAGGTGGAGGGGGGAGAGAGAAGAGGGTAGAAGACAGGTAAGTTGTTATGATGGGCTATCAGAAGATGCTTGAAGCTTCCACATTTGGCCTTTTCTTTACGGTACAAGCCAAAGCAACTACACAAAATGACTGGGTTTTTGGACTTTGTCTATCATCCGGCAATCTAGAAACTAGGAAACATGATGTTCCAGAAACTTGATCTGTTTCCGTCTTCAGGTGGTTAGGAGGATGACACCTACTCTGTTGGGTCCCGTAGAAAGAGCTGCCATCAATCACTGGACAATCACTGCCAAAGTGACTATAGACGGGGTTTGGATTAGTAATCGGATTTATTGGGCACTTACAGAAAGTAATTACTCATAATTACGGCAGTCTCATTTAGTTACACGCTCCAAAGACCACTGTAACTACAGCACATAGAAAGTTTCCTCGGTAGTGGCTTCCATTTCGGACTTTCCCCTTCCTCTTGGTTCCCAAACGACTCCCGGGTTCAGCTACAGCAACTCTCCACTGACTCAATCATCAACAAAATACACTTCCCTCAACTCATCTGACTAATTGCAGAAAGAAAAAGAAGTGTGTGGGGGGAGGGCAGTGAGAGACACTACATTGGGGGGAGGGGTAAGAAACTCTATCTCCGATTTTGAAGGTTCCCAGCCAGTTCCCGCTTGTCCTTCTGGTATAGGTAGAGCATATAATCGGGACTAACTGCAGCTCCCAAATTTTTAAGCTTACATCTCGGCGCGGACCGCACAGAAAACACCGTTCATTATTTCTGTAGTGGTATGGGTAACTTGGTTGAGTAGTAGAGGAAGAGACCAAATTTGTCTTGTCTGCATGTTGTAATAATTGTTATGATAATAACAAACACAAAGTGGGCAAACAGTAATAGAGTCTGCTGCTATTAGCGGACGTGTGGTCGCATCGTCCATCTGTTGCGTCATGGATGTAGGAATATTCTGAGGATTCGCTGTATCTGTTACGAAGAAGAAATACTTTAGGTTTCAGATATATTTCAGGAATAATAGCACACAGCTGCTTTTAGACCGTAATAGGGAACTCAAACTTAAAATAACAAAAACCATACTAAAAATATATTCGATTTTATGTTGTGTTTATTAATAAACATAAATTATCTCACAGAACGCTGTATGTATCTTTTAGAACTATAAACAGAATGTAATATCTTATCACGTGTTCGACTTTAACAACTCGATGACGGAGTTTTCGTCGGCCAGTACCTCAAGTGATAACGGACTTTGGTTCTGCGCGAACGTCATTAAAGTTTTTTGTCATAACCATTATCTCTGTGGGAGATCGAATAATTAGGATAATAAAAAATAATTGAAAAAGTCCGAATTTACATATCTGAATTTTCAAATTCCTTTCTCCCTTTCAATGGTTCGACAGCCCTTTGGACTTTGGCCGCTTTTTTCAGATTCCTAATCCTGTACACTGTCGGCAGGACTCCTTGGATGGGGATCAGCCCGTGGCAAGGTCACTACCTACACACAGAACAACACAAACACAGAATAAACACACACAGATATTAATGCCTTGAGCGAGATTCAAACCAACGACCCCCAGTATTCGAGCGGGCGAAGACGGTTGAAGCCTTAAGTATGCCGCACACCGGGATGCGTCAAGATATGCAACAGTCAAGACACGATGTCTGCGACATGATGCCAAAAAAGAAAAAAAAAAAGGAACACAGTTGAAACGAATGAGATTATGAAACAAGTCGCACACCGGTCTGAATCATGATGCTGACGTCAGCTTCACGCTGATGATTCACGAATGAAGCAAGACTACGTCTTTTGTCTCATGTCTTGACGCTTGTCTTGACGCAGTTGCCCTTTATGTGTAGGAGCCAAAATTGTACAGAAATACATAAAATGAAGCTGATTATTCGGGAGCTGATGCATTTGAATCTTGGCTGTGACACTGGTTACTTTGAATTTGGTTTTTCGTGGTTTTCCTCAATCGCTTCAAAAATATTTTCGATTAATAACTCTATTAGATCAGAACATTTACTCTAAAATCCTATAAAATTCACTGTTCACCAGTTATCATATAATTCGAAGTATGCAGTTTGAGTTACAGGTAGCTTTGTTAAATAGGCAGGTAAATAAATGAAGTTTCAGAAACTCATTTTCCCCACGTAATCAGGTTGGTGTTGGAAAAGTACTCTGTTGGAGCCATTAAGTTGAGCTAATCTACATTCTACCTCCCTTACCACTTAGTCTAACGTCCAGAACTCTCAATTTTTGTTCACGCAGTGTTTTTGTGGCTTTCATATGATTCTCAGAATGGCAGCTATTTCCATAATCAGTACTGTCCAGTTTATTACTTAATGGAGACGCATGTATTTTAAATAATTAGTACGGTCTTCCGTATTTTAATGCTGTTTAGTTCGGAGACATCCTGACATTTCGGTGGAAGATATAGCTTCCATCTTCACGGTTGAAGAGTAAGCCAAGCAGAAACCAGCAGAAGGGGGTTGAGCTTATTCCCTGCTTCCTTGCTTGACTTACTCGAAGATGGGTGTGATACCTTCAACTTGGTTAGCTCTTTTTGACCTGTAGATGGAGGCAGTCTGTCCCTCCAAAACGTCAGTGAAATTCTGATTAAACTCTGTCACATCTCACAAGATGACACTTATCACGCACTGTTGTCAAAATTTCAAATCCAATAAAATATACGCTACGGAGATTTTTATCTTCAGTGCTAAAATGTCGTACAATTTTGTGAAAGTCAACCGACTTTTCGGAGAACATATCGTCCCCATATTCATGGTTTAAAAGTAAGCCGACATAGAAACAATCATGAAGCAGAAAGAAAATATACGTATGAAGAAAGCAGTCTTCTGGGATTTGGCACCGTGTATATGTGGTGTTAACCGACGTTTCGGAGGAACGTATCGCCCCCAACTTCAGGGTTGAAGAAGTATAGGTAAATCTGCAAGCGACAACACCGTGAGACACGGTCAAGCAGACTCACGGTGTTGTCGCTTGCAGATTTACCTATACTTCTTCAACCCTGAAGATGGGGGCGATACGTTCCTCCGAAACGTCGGTTAACACCACATATACACGGTGCCAAATCCCAGAAGACTGCTTTCTTCATAGTCACCGCCGTGAAAGCCTCAAATCTTACAAAATATACGTAGTTTTACGAATACTTGTGCGGCAAGATCTTGAACTACGTGCTGTAGTGTGGCTCCTCCCACGCAGATGGCAGCAGTGTCTAATCCCGTGTTTGTTGCTTTATATTAGTTATCTCGTATGTACCATGAAGGACACAAAAAATATTAACTGACGACAATAATGAGGTTAGTCTGGATGTAAACGCAGAGAAAAGTAAGTATACGTTGCTCTCTCGTCACCCGAATGCAGGGCAAAATCATGACATAAAGCTAGCTAACAGATCTTCCGAAAATTTGAATAGTTCAACTATTTGGGGACACATTAACAAATCAAATTTTTATTCAGGAGGAAATTAAGGGAGATTGAATTCGGGTAATGCCCGTTACCATTCAGTACAGAGTCTTTTTGTCTTCTCGTTTGCTGTCTAAGAACTTAAAAATAATAATATACAAAAGTATAATTTTGCCTGTGGTTTTGTATGCGTGTGAAACTTTGTTTCTGACATTAAGGGAGAAACATAGACTGAGGGTGTGTGAGAACAGGGTGTTGAGAATATTTGGACCGAAGAGGGATGAAGTGACAGGAGGTTGGAGAAAACCTCATACTGAGGAACTTCATAGCTTGTACTCTTCTCAAAGTATAATTAGAATGTTCAAACCAAGAAGGATGGTATGGGCAGGGTATGTAGCATGCGTGTGGAGGAGGAAAAAGAAGAAATGCATATAGGATTTTAGGGGGAAAGCCAGAAGCTAAGGCCCACCAAGAAGACCTAGATGTAGGTGGGAGGATCTTAGACAGGTAGGGTTGGTGGTACGGACTGGATTGATCGCTTAGGATTGCGACCAATGGAGGGCTCTTGTGAACACGGTAATGAACCTTCGGGTTCCGTAAAATATTGAGAAATTCTTGAATGGCTGCGCAACTGGCGACTACTCAAGAAGGGTTCAGCTCCATCTAGTTAGTT